CTCGGCTTGTGGGAGTTGGGGGAGAGGCACAGCTGGGCTGGGGGGCGGGGCTGTGACCCACCTTCCTGTGCTGTCTGTGGGGGGCTGCTCCGGCCGGGCAGAGGACTCAGGCCGCTCACTGCTGCCTCTCTGTGGCTGAATGTTGCACGTTCCGTGCAGGGCCCATTGGCCCATCTGTCTCTGGCTGTCGGTGCTTCCAGACGCTCACGCTCGACACAAGCCGAGAGGCGAAGATTGTGGCCGAGTTTCAGCAGCTGCAGCAGTTCCTGGAGGAACAAGAGCGACTCCTGCTGGCCCAGCTGGAGAAGCTGGACGCTGACGGGAAACTCTCTGTGCAGATTTCCCGTCTCAGTGAGCTGATTGGTGAGCTGGAGGGGAAGTGTCAGAAGCCAGCGAGTGAATTCCTGCAGGTGAGACTAAGGGAGAAACATCCCAGCTCCCCACACAAAGAAGAGAGGCTCCTGAATAACAAGTGCTGGAGTCCAGCCATCAGATCTGGGTGTAACTCGGTGTGTGCATTGCTGCCATGCGAGTGACTGTTGTGCTTTGCAGAGTCACAGGCACAGACCTATTAGTATCTATGGCCCTGGGGCCAGGTCAGGGCGTCTCTTCCCCATATTTGCAAATTGCCTTCCCTGTGTGTGTCCAGTGCAGCTGAGATTCTTTTCTGTCTCTTTTCTGTAGGATGTAAGAAACAGCTTGAACAGGTAGGTGGCTCGCACTCCTGTCACAGCTGATGTTGGCACCACATCTCCCCAGGTCCCCAACAGCACCACATCTCCCCAACAGCCAGATGTTGGATAGAAATGTCTCTGACTCAGTTAATTCTGAGGGTCTAACCCTTGCACAGCAGACTCTGGAATTCCCCATTCAGGGGCACAGTCTGACTTCAGATATTTCCTAGAGCTGTCACCTCCCTGGAGAATGATGGCCCCATCGTGATGCTCTCCTTAGAGACACTGAGCAAACAGACACAACTGCTTGTAAATAGAGCCAGGGGTTTGCAAACTCTAAGCCTCCCGTTGGTGTCAAGGGATCAGAATAGGTAAAGTTAATGTCATGGCAACGTCTTTCCCCAGCGCAGCTCTAGGTTATGACAAGAGGTGGTAAGTGACTGAGAGAAACCAGGTGGGAGGGGATGAGGAGGGAAAAGTAAATCTCGCTTTCAGTTTGTGTCTCCTGGGGCGGGGATGAGGCTGCAGAGATTGTCTCTTTGGGCGGGGATGAGGCTGCAGAGATGTTGGCTCCATTGCTGGCAGGTGCCCAAGCGAGAGAGGACACAGAAAGTTTCACCTCCCTTATCTCTTCCTCCACCAGACACTCTGCCCTCTGCACTGGAGAGAGCAAGAGGAAAATCCCTGGGAGCTTTCAGACAAGGTGAGTTTGCAGGTGGAGATTCTTTAAATTGTCTCTTTGGGCGGGGATGAGGCTGCAGAGATGTTGGCTCCATTGCTGGCAGGTGCCCAAGCGAGAGAGGACACAGAAAGTTTCACCTCCCTTATCTCTTCCTCCACCAGACACTCTGCCCTCTGCACTGGAGAGAGCAAGAGGAAAATCCCTGGGAGCTTTCAGACAAGGTGAGTTTGCAGGTGGAGATTCTTTAAATGATGAGAAAACTCCAGTGAAAACATCTTCATAGGATTGTCATTGAAGTTACCAACCAGACCCAGTGACCACGGTGCTCACAGCCCTAAATCTCACCCACTGATCAGTGAGGAGCCACAGGGGCACTGCATAGGGACCTGCAGACACTTTGAGAATCACTGATCTACGGGGTGTGATGCTATAGGGGTGACGTTAAAGCACACAACGGACGGCACCTTCAGGCTCGGATTTCACTGCTTGGTCAGTTTCAATATGGGGTTGGTTTCAAACAGTAAATAGGATGAAAGGCTGAGAGCTCACTGGCTTCCATGGTATCAGTTTGTTCATGACGAGAAACTGCTAGATCCCCAAGGGCTCTTCGGTCTAGTGCAGGCCTGGGCAAAATACAACCTATGGGCCGGATCTAGCTCGCCAGGCCATCGGATCTGGCCCACTGATGCTTGGCGAACCATGGGCTTCTTCTGTGCTTCCCACTTCCCACCTGCAAGCCACTAAAAGCGAAGGTGAGCCTGGAGAGGAAGTGTGAAGGCGGCAGGCAATGCTTCCACTCCCAGGACAATCTCATTGGCTGGTTTCTGTCCAGAAAGGAAGCATCGTGCCCCCTGCTCTCCAGCTCATAGTTATTCACACACCCACATGGCCCTGCAGCCTTTGCAAGGATTGGGCAGGCTACCTGCCTGCCTCAGAGAGGTGCTTGGCTGCTGGTCGGGAGTCACTCAGGTAAGTCTCCTGGTTAAAGCTTGCCTCTGGCACCCCAACCTCTCTCTTCCTCTCCTAATTCTCTGCCCTCCCCACTCCTGCCCCCCATTCCACATACCCAAACTCTTTGTTCTCTTCCTGCATTCAAGTATGCAAGAAGCTCTTCATTGTCAGAAACCCTCAACCCCTTATTTGTCCACTCAGCCACTTCTCTAAATTAACTTTTCTTTAAATATCTCATGAGTAGTTGGCTAATCCAGTGCTCCAATTCACACCAGCTTCCTTCACCCAAACTCCTTCCCAGACCCCTCTTTCCCCCCTGCATCCCAAACCATCACATAAAACTCCCTTCTTCTTCCGGTGTCCAGCCCATATGCTGTATTTCCTGCTTAATGTCTTGGAAGAGTGCAGCTCTCAACCAGTTTCCAAAATCTTGGAGTTCTCTCCTCCCCTCCCCCGCCATCAAAATGAATTGCCCACCCCTGGTCTAGTGGATACAGTTCAGTGAGAGCCAATAACTGAAAGCTGCAGCTGGAAAATTTCAGGCTAGAGAAAAGGCACAACTATTTGATGGGTAAGAGGATTAGCTGCTGAAACAAATGAGCAAAGAACTGGTGGGTTCTCCATCTCTTGATGTCTTCATATCAATACTGGGTGACTTTCTAGAAAACATGCTGTAGGGGAACAGAGCTTTGTGCCTGGGTAGCTGGGCTAAGTGTAATGGCTTGTGCCACAAAGGGGACAGATTGCATGACTAAGGATAGTTTCTGATGCCATGAATTCATGAATTTTAAGGTCTTATCCTGCAAATACTCAGTACACGTGTTTAATAATATGCATCTGAATACTGGTTATGATAGAATGTAGGAAAGGAGTTAAGGAGAGTCCCAGCTGTTGGGCTAACCGAGGGTACGTCTATACTACAGCACTAATTCGAACTAACTTAGTTCGAATTAGTTAATTTGAACTAAGCTAATTTGAACTAACGCATCTAGAACTAAAAACTAGTTCGAATTAGCGTTTTGCTAATTCGAACTAGCATGTCCACATTAAGTGGACCCTGAACCGGGGTTAAGGATGGC